TATCACAGCTCGCCGACTGAAGATGTGGAAGAATGTGGGATGCGTATTAGCAGCCACATCGTAAAGCACCGCTTCATTGTGTCCCCGGAAACCAGGCAAACGATACTCAGAGCAACAATTGCCGTGATTGACCTGAAGCCCAAAAGGTTGTCAACCACGTTTGGCTCCCTGACACTCACAAGACAGCGACAGGATAGCTTCAACCGAGTAAGCACGGCTAAAACACACAGCCCCCTTGTTCCAGTCCACGGTCGAGGAATATGCGGAAGCATTTACGAACGACGATGATCCGTACGGATTCTGCAACCGGATCGCACATGAAATACCAACAACCGGAATATTTCGACCTCATGGACTTTGCAGGATACCAGTTTACCTTGAGGAGGAATTAGAAAGGCAAGTAAAGAACATGCTGAAGGAGGATGTTATCGAAGAAGCCAACAGTCCGTACAACTCGCCTGTTCTCCTGGCGAAGAAGTCCAACGGGAAGTATCGTTTTTGTGTGGATTTTGGACGGATGAATAAGGTAACATATGACAAAATTTTCACTCCATCACATCACCATTGTACGAACTTCTCCGAAAAGACAAGAAATTTGAATGGACCTATAATGTCCAGAAGGCGTTCATGCGGGTGCAACAAGCGATGAACGAGCAACAACTAACTCTGAAATTACCGAATGCAAAAGAAACGTTCATCGTAGCAGCAGATGCCAGTGACCGTGACACCGGGGCAGTACTCAAGCAAAGGGAAGGAGTAATTGCATATGCTAGCAAGGTCTTGGCTCCAACGGAGCAGAAGTATTCGACCATTGAAAAGGAATGTTTGGCAATCGTCTGGGCACTGGACAAGTGGAGGCTGTATCAGTGGGGTCAACAGTTCCACGTGAAGACGGATCATCACCCTCTAGAGTGGATCAGGACTGCGAGGGACCCGAAAGACTGATGGGCATTGCGTTTACAGGAATATGACTTCACGATCAATCATGTGCCTGGTTCGAGCAATTGCGTCGCGGATTTTCTTTCTCGACCGCATATAGACGACGAGCTCCCCAAAGTGACTTTTGGAGTCAACGGCTTAGTAATGGAGCAGCACCCACAGACACTAGTGCGTTTACAACATCAGGACAAGGTCCTACGGAAGGTGATTGAAGCTCTGGCAAGAGGTGTGAGGATCCCCACAAATACTAAGAATGAAGAGCTGAAGATAATCGCATCCCAATGGAGAAGAGTTGGCTTAAACAGTGCGGGTGTATTGACGTGGCAGCGTGGCGTTGGGTGCCCTTGCGTGGTAGTCATCCCGAGACAACTGAGGAAGAAACTGGTGGCAGACTGTCATGAAATGGCACACACCGGATGCACTAGGACGTACGATCTGCTGCAACAAAGAGCAAATTGGCCGAAGATGAAAGAGGATGTGACAGCTTACGTGCTGGCATGCCAACAGTGTCAGTTACTGAAAAGCGACAATCGGTGAATTCTGGTCGATGGATCTCATGGGCCCATTTCCACTGAGTGCCCGCGGTAACCAGTACGTTCTGGTCATGACAGAACACTTTACTCGTTGGATCGAAGCGACTGGCGTTCCGGATCAAAAAGCATCTACAGTGGGAGATATGGTGATGAAGCACATCGTAGCAAACCACGGTGTACCGAAAGCGATCTTGACAGATCAAGGAGCATGCTTTGAAAGCGAGGAGTTTCGAACACGCATCCAACAACTGGGAATCAAGCGTATCCGATTGACACCATATCACCCGAAAACGAACGGCCTAACTGAACGTAACAACCGAACGGTCAAAGAATGGCTATCAGCCAAAGGAGGTGACTGGGAGTCTGCGTTGCCACTGGTTTTATTGGCCCACCGGTCTTCTGTGCAGGCGAGTACGAAGAAATCTCCATTCCAACTGATGTACGGTAGAATCCCTTGACTTCCGGTGGATCAGGACATCGGGATATGACCAGAGTGCATTGATTCCACTAAATAATTGGTTGCCGAAAGAGAACGAGGCAAACGAAATCTGAAAGCATCGCAGGCACGCACAAAGGAGCAATCCGCAACGTCATGGATCGGCGAAACTAGAATACCGCCAGAAATATCGCTCAGCAAGTCAATGATTTCTGCGATTTCAACTTAGAGAGAAGTCTTAGTCGTGAAGTCATCGATTGGAGTTAACAGAAAATAACTGTGTCTCCTCTCGAGACGATCAGGCAACCTGATCATTACTCACAACCGAAAGTGGTCGAACTTTCACATGCAATGATAATTCGGTCATGCCTAATGTGAGGTCAATGACGTAGTGCAGTGGTAAACTCGGTTGCTTCATGTAAACGTGGCTGGAGTTCTATTCCCGGCAGTGGCGATGATATGCATTATTGATGAGCTCTAGTGAGAGCGAAACTCGAGTCTAGTGCTTGTTTTCGAAAGGGGCCGACTGGGAAGTTTACGGGAATGTGACAGCTGTAATCAATTGTGGGTGTTCGATTTATATGAAAACCGAAATCTCCTACTACTTATCAGTAAAACTAGAATGTTCAACCTATTAGAACGGGTGAAGTATCGAGATCATCTGAACACGGGTGCCAGCACCCCAGGATCAAGAAATCATCTGCCGAAACAGAAAGGTCCGTATTTGGTAATTTTTAGACGGGGCTCATTATACACCATTAAGAGAGAAAGCGAGACGACAATAGTGTATGCCAGTGAGTCAGTAAAGTGGCAGGAAGTGCTGGCGCGGCGAACAAGAAGATCAATAATTCGGGAGGCAACACTGCGTCGGTCGGATAGGATTCATCAGCAGATGCAGAAGAATCTCAGAAGAGGAGGAGTGCTGTATGACAAGCAGTATCGTTAGGAGTAGTGTACTACTCACAACGAAACTGCCTGTCATACAACAGTATGAGTTGTAGTTGAAGTCATTTGCTGTCCTGGAATGAACCGTTCATACTTTACACTCGTCTGGTGGCGTCCACTTCTAGCTGAATGAGGTGTTCGAACTTATGTTACTTCACAATGATTGCCTCTGTCTCACCTTTTCGAATGAGTTAATGGAAGTGAATATCTTGGACGCCGTTTGCACCTGTTGGTCCCTGCCCATGGTTGGACGTTAAACGTATCCAATCAGTTTCTCACCATTTACTGTCTGTTTGCTCCTTTCGTAGGTTGGTGCATTACTGAAGAGTAATCCTCATCGCCGATATCATCCGAATACATATTTTGAATTTTAACTATTCGGTTACTTTTACAGATATACGTAAATATTCTTTCTCACTTTGTTTTTGTTGGACCATTCGTAACCTTGCTGGTTGTATAAATCAGAACTAGCTTCTAAGATGAACATACTTAAGCATTTGGTTGTTAGAGTGTCTACAATAATTACGAAATTTTAACTCCTAGACAGGAGTCAATATATAAGCCAAATATGATCGAGTAACATTTTGATGCTGTAAATTGTTAGAAAAAAGAGTTTTTAAAATTCTATTGAAAAGATTCTGATATGTACCAAACGGAGTAACGTCTTCAGGTCTATACTAAATTAATTACCATGCTTGACGTTTAGATCCACATATGATATTCAAACTACAAAGTGCATTCTTACTTTTGGAACATGTCCCAGGTAGTTCAAGTCTCCCATTCGTTCTAAGCGAGCAAATTGCAGCCAATTATGAAGACCCAAAACTTCGAGCTGACGATTTTCTCCAACAAATACGTGTTCAAACGCGGAGGAGTCCCGACGACTGGAAGTTGTACAACAAGACAGCATCTAAATCATTTAGACAATACGTGTACACAGAAAATAATAATCTTTTTCTAAACATAGGGTTTACGCGATGTGTAACTCCGAATAAATGGTTGTAACAAGCCTAATTTTGTTTCCATTCTGTAGGGTTTGGTAACAAAAAAGCCAGCCAAACGATCAAAATGTTTGACAAATATCAGTGACATGCAAAGTGTTGATAACCAAACTTTACAAGCCAGGAGATGTGCAAGCTCATGTAAAAATGAACGTCAGCAGCATGTACAGTTATTGATCGTAGTTTCCACCGGTTCCGAGAGTGATTTTTGATGGGATCAGTTCAACCCTCCACCGGAATAGATGTAACGATTCAGTAGTGAATCTTTGTAACCAGCTGTGAAAGGAAGTGAAACGACTGAAACACTCGAAACAAGGAACCTGTCTATGGAAGACTAGAGATACATCTGACACACTGATGGCGATCTATTAGAAAATTGTACGTTTTAATGTTGTCGTTCAGATATGTTCTGTTCATCACCGCGAATATTAGAAAAAGATTTTCGTCGAATTCAAGTTCGCCCAGTGCATGGATGAAAGACCGTCCCTATATATATGTCTAATGGTCGTCACCAACCACAATCGCATCGTTGAATGATCATCACATACTGTGAGAAGTTAGTTGGGTTAGTGAGAGGGTCGGACCAAAAAAATAAATGAGAATCCAGACCAAGACAGAGTTTGTTGATATTACTAGGCAAGTAGCTGACAAACTGTCATTTATGCACGAATGAACCACGTATTTCTTCAAGACACTAGTTGAGTCACCTGAGACATGTCTACTTCTTCCAGACACCATGCTCGCAAAACTTAATTCAGAATAAAACTGTCCCCACTATACGCAACATTGTTGCACACATCAATCGCTACTGTCGTTTATTTTTGAGATTAATAACAGCAGAACTTACCTATTTCAGCCTGTCCCCAAGGCTACAGCCTTAGAGGAGCATAGCTATCAGATGGTACTGATGTCAGACAACAATGGTTATCATAATAATTCATCCCCTATGGCAATTTTTCTGACGTGCACCGATTAGTGATGGTGTAAGAAGTTTTCAACCTTAAAATGGCAGTTCGACTTAGAATTAAATCGAACATACAAGACATCTGTTGTTTTTAAGATCGAACACATTTGGTGGATTTCATATGAGACAGTGGAACGGGTGGGTAATTGGGTCCAAGTGTAAAATTTCAGAGCTCCTGGTGTGGCTTCGTAGCTCAGCTGGTACAGAGCTTGCCGTGCTGAGGCATGCTGTTGTTGTCGCTGGTTCGAATCCAGCCAAAGCTCTGACTTTCACACTTGGGTCTCATCTAACATGCAATAACACCAGAAGTATCGGTAATGTCGATCTTCATCATGTCAACGTGAAAACCGAGGGTGAAGCTACTGTTAGGCATTGAAAAGTCTGAGGCATTTCGAAAGTTTTCAGGAATTACAATACTGTAATGCATATAGTACGACAAAATAGCTTCTGTCTATTGAGTAGCATAAACGGTGGTCTTCCCACACTGCAGGGATCATGGATTTAATAAGTTAACCACTTGTTTCTTCAAAAGGACACACCGTTGGTCGAAATAACTAGGCACTTCTGCGTACCGCTATGGCGTATCTTGTACTTGTCCAAAGAACAAATTGGATAAATTTCAAGTTGAACGTCACCCACAATTTATTGTAGCTGTCGCATTCCCATAGACTTTCCCGTCGGCCCCCTTCGAAAACAAGCACTAGACTCGAGTTTCGCTCTCATTAGAGCTCGTCAGTAGTGCATTTCATCGTCACTGCCGAGACTTGAACCACGGACACGCTGTTCATGAGGCAACCGTGTTTACCACTGCACTGCGTCATTGACCTCACATTAGGCTTCACCGAATTATCATTGCATGTGAAAGTTCGACCACTTTCGGTTGTGAGTAATGATTAGGTTGCCCTATCGTCTCGAGAGGAGAGTTATTTTCTGTTAACTCCAATCGATAACCACGGACTAAGTTAAAGTCAAACCCTGGCGACAACTGATGTACTCCTAACTCGCCTAGAGAACAGAAAGAACATACACTGCCTGAACATTGGCTCAATATGTCCGAATTCCAACATCGCGCGCCTCATGCATCAGACTACATGTCAAGCCAGATCGAGAACAACATACACCGCTCTAAGCCAATCACAACCAAGGTCAACGCATATACGATCGATAACTCTCACTACTTATGCGGTGACTATTGTGGCTTCCAACGACAACGTCATTTCTCAATTTTGGCTAAAGGATATTATTGGGGACATGCGCAACTAGATTCACCCGGTTTCGTGAATACCATAAGTATGTTAGCTATGTAATTACGTAAAGTACAGAAACTATGGTCCAGTAGACGCAAGCAAAACAAAAACTGAGTCGAATGCTGTGACATGCATTCTGCTCTACTTCGGACGTAATGGTCCCTACATCCATTGTTGAACTTTTCTACAAAAGTGTCGTTTGTTTTAGGATGATCAGGCATGCTATTTTTGCCGCTTAGTCTTGCAAACTGAGCGCAATCAGATCATTTGAAACGCTATTACTAATAGTGGAGTTCATGATAACTTTTTCCAGACATTCCGAGTGCAGCTGCAATGCTCAGTACAGAAAACATTCTATAAAACGCCAACCACATTTTGTAACAGTCCCCTTTCAGAGGAACCGTTGACAGGATCAACCAAAACGTTCTCCTCTGGAGGTGGTATTTTCGAAATCAGCTTGCTGCTGTCACGCATTCTAGCATGTTGACACCACATTTGGTGTATATCCTTCTACGTACGTTTGTGCCAGATCAAAAATTGCAGTCGGCCTCTGAATACCGTGTTATCTTCATCCTCTGGCGTCCGATCAATGCATTTCATGAAGTAGGATCAAATCAAACTTGTATTTTTTAATCGTCTGGATGAGAGGAGCTAGTTGTCGGTGGAAAATCTGACGAAAAAGTGGAAACTATCGGCAAGCCTAACAGAACAGCTGCCAAATATTAAGTTATGCGGTTTAGAAACGGCTCTTTTAAACCTAAACAACCGGGTGTTTCTTGATACAAAGAAGCCTGTTGGAAGGTGGCACATTCTGTGGTTCAGTGTAGATTTCTATTCCTATTTTGTGAGCATGTGAGGAAAGAAGAAAAGATTTGTCCCGGGGATTAACCACTAGAGTAAATTTGCGTTCTTTCGGAGTCTAACCAAAAGAGTTGGTTGGGACTATCTAGTTTAACAGAAAAGAGACGTAGCTGTTGTCTTATTTGAGCAAATGAAACAATCTAATGGTTTTAAAGTGAAGCCAGACATGTATTTTGTTGGATATTCGGATTTTGTCTACTCAACCCACTAGCCGCCAGCTACTTCTTTCAGTGGAGAGGCCGGGTCTTAGTGTAAAATGATATCCAATCTTTACTGATATATCATCAGACGTCTACTCGATGCGTTATGACGGCTTTCCACTTGAGGTTTTTTGAGTGTCAACGAACTGAAAAGGTAGCCAACAATATGATCATGTATGACTGATCTAGAAAGCCGTAAGTGTATGGCATGCTTGATTGTAGTCTAACTCAATGTCGCAGTCTTAGTTAAGCATAGAGAGGTCTGATCCATCCTTAAAATATTCATTCTATATTGTGTAACTTATTTTACTCACCATGGTTAAACAGTGTGAATTAAATATTTGTCCTCAAAAAGAGTAGTCACTCGCTGCTAAGCAGGTTTTGACAGTTATTGATTTTTGGTAGATTACGTACATTAAATGAACAACCCTTCAGCAGAGTAAACGAGTATACAAAAAACAGGCGAATTGTGAAACGACCAATTAGGGACAATCACGTGATGCAGTCCAGAGTAAACAGTATTAAAATTACTGTCCAGCTGGAGTATAGTAAATAACAGTTGGGTCTCATCTAAATTCGTAAATCTGCCAAACTACTTATTAGTAGTACAATTTCTATGCTCAACAGTCGCGTTGGTGGATTCCAGCGTGGCGTGTTCGAGAAATCCTGCCGGGGCAGTCGATCCCCTGGATCATTTGGTGGATTCCATATGAGACAGTGGGACGGGTGGGTAATCGGGTCCAAATGTGAAATTTCCGAGCTCCTGGCGTGGCTTCGTAGCTCAGCTGGTAGAGCGCTTGCCGCGTAGAGGCATGGTGTTTCTGTCGCTGGTTCGAATCCAGCCGAAGCCCTGACTTTTCACAGTTGGGTCTCATCTAAAGTATGGTATGTAATCATTTTTTTGGGCATATTCTCGCGAATGTACCGTTTACTCTGAATACAACGTAATTCAGTGCTGAAGTTGAGAGTTTGGCGTGAGACCCTGACGTATAATTGACAGGATACACTATCGCACATGTATCAAACGCATAAGCTAGTTTAGTAGGGTATATTTCAAGGAAACATAATCTTATGGTAGTTTACTTTTGTAGTTAAGTGTTTGAGTTTATCAGTAGAAGAATGATTGAATTGAAGGCGATAAACGAAATCTTAACTAGAAAGTACTGAGGAAATATCGGAACTTGCTTTTGTCTTCCATAGAGTCCGAACCAAAGATCATACAAAAGCTTCTTAAAGTCAGCCATTGAAAATATATTAAGTCCCTTGCTGCGTAAGAAGGCAAACGTTTCCTTCATAACATTCGTTTTCAAAACTTCTTCAAGGAAAGCATCCATTTCCCTCTGCTCATCTTTGGTAACTAGCTCGTTGATACCAACATTAGCTTCATAGTTGTCCAATAAATTCAGAAAGGCTAAAATAAAAATGGAAAATGGACTCAGTTTACGCAGAAAACAAAACGGTTTCAAGTTAACTGTACACTTTTGCATTAACTAAGAATTTGTTACATTAAACAGTGAAAAATATGCAGTTTAGAAATGTTTCCACCATGAATACAATACCACCAAGTCATACACAGTACGTTTCATCAATAATTATGGAACTATAACCCACATTCGGAGGTTAGCCGGCTAGTCATGAAATGCTGTGAGAAGAAATCAAGCTCGGATACTGCTCCACAAAAAGCATTTAATTTAACGCTTCGTTTTTTCACGCACTGGCAAGTAGGTTCGCAGGTGCGTAAAGAGACTGGCACACAATATTGGTGGGATAAGATGTTGGTTTAAGATTTGCAAACAGCGGCTCAGTCAAAAGCCATTTTTTATCTGACCCTTATAAGCTAAGAGGTTTTACACAAGCACTACTGGGGGTCTGAACTAAACTGAAGGCACTTCGTCAGTGGTGAGGGCGCTATCACACTTGGTATCGGAGCCTTTAGAGAGCATGCCTTCAAAGATTCCATAGGGGAATCGGATCAACAAGGGTTGAATACACATCATTGAGACATGGTTGAGTTAGCCAAAACAAAGTTGTATGCATTGTTTTGCTTATATACCTTAATTTAACGGTGTGGAATGTTTTAATTCAAACCAGGCCGAAAGCAGTGCACTGAAGGAACCTTGTTTGACAAGCTGACTGGCTGGCATCAGTCCATCCGAATTACATGCAGTTCACAGTCCACTATATTCTGTTGACACAAGCTGTGGTCAGGAAACAACTTTTGTATCTACCGGAACTCCCGGATATATATATATGCACATACACAACTGACTACACAGTAGTGCAGTTGGTTTTCTCAGCTAGATTAAGGTGACGCTCATAATTTTAGGGTTTGTCACTTTTTTACTTTTTGTCTCCAGAACAAATTTTGGGCTTGTTAAGGTGGAAAACGATGCAAGTTCATTGTTTTTTTGTTTTAAACTATTCATATTAGGTTCGCTAAGATTTATGTCTTGTAAACTCATTGAACAAAAACAGTTTCTCATGGTTAAGATATTCACACAATCAGGCGTTGGTGATGGTCACATGTAGGCAAATGAAAACTGTTCGCAGCAACATCACACGTTTGGATATTCGCAAAACCACATTCAGACGGTTCATTTATCCTTCAGAACTTTTCTGCTACGATGGTTTAAAAGCTTTTCTTGGCTAAGTTGATAAGTTTCAGCTGGTAACATCTTTGAAAGAAAAATTCTAGCCCAAATTCTTTGAATGTAAGCAATACTTGATATGTGTGGAGTGTAATCTACATATCACTTTCCACTCATGAACGAATAGCATTTTCGATTATATTGGAAACCAAAGAGGAACTAAGAAGGTATAATTCAGATGTGTCTGAATTCTGGAGCTATTTATCCAGCAGACGAGCGTTTCAACTTTCCCCGAGCAGCTCCTGAATCCTGTGTGGTAAGTTCACTTTTCGGTGATTTGTGCGGATTTTTTAAAATCAAAATTGTT